TATTGCATAATGGTGCAACTGATCGTTTGTCATTGCAAGGGGTAATACGTCGGGCTGGAGCCAAGAAGATAAATCCCAGACGTTTTCATCAATCTGCCAATGTGGAGTGTTTGGCCGGACAGACCACAGTAAAATATGGCACAAATTTGACACTCTTTGCTGTCAAGCCTCGGGGAAACGTCTTTGCCGTATTTTCATCACAAAGCTTGTGCGAATGAAACAACTCTTGCTTCAGATTCGATGGCATGGGCTATCCCATGCTTGTGAATCGCAAACTGCACATCAGGGGGCTTCGTCGTGCGCCACTGACTGGTCACAAATGTGCTTCGATATTCTAACCAAGGAAATCAGGACGCCTCGTGCTCGTCCAAACTCGCACAAATGGTGGCCACCTCAGCGAAAATATTCCATAATTCCCACACCCGAGGACGAAAGCATTCCTCTGCCCTGTCGATCAACAGCTAATTAGCTTACAAATAAGAGCGGAACATATTCATATATATATATATATATATATATATATATGAATAAGAGAACCAGCGCCGTTGATCCCAACGACTCGCAGCGGTTTTTTGTCGGTTGGCGCGCCGAAGTCGCGAGGTGCCACAGAAGTTGCTTCTGTGGTGCCACGTATCCAACGCCGTGTGAAACCCAAATCATCGCCCGATCGTCGTGGGAAACACGTGGGAAATAACTGCAAAGTGGTGGGAAACAAGTGCAAAGTGGTGGGAAAGTCTGTGCCCACGCAACCAGTATGCATGGCCTCACACCACTCGCTCCTCGCATCGTCGCCCTTGTTTGCGTCGATATACATACTACCTTTTGACACCCTAGGATACATGCGTCATCTCTCGCTGGTGCACTGCCGGCACACAATGACACGGCGGTCTCGCATCGGTGGGATTCAAATCCCACGCGTTGCACACGTGAAAGCCACGTGATATGGAAGTTTCCGCCACGGATGTTTTGTACGTTCCCGACTTCGGCGTCGGCGCCAACGGCCAGCTCTCGACCGCTCATTTTACAACTGCCTCTGCAACACCAACACCACCAACCACTACCATGGCTCACCACCTCCTCTCGCCCATCAAGCTCGGCCGCGTCGAGCTCGCCAACCGCGTGCTCCTCGCGCCGCTCACGCGCTGCCGGTCGTCGCCGGGCACGCACGTGCCCAACGACCTCATGAAGGAGTACTACACGCAGCGCGCGGGCGCCGGCCTCCTCATCACCGAGTGCACGATGATTGCGCCGCTCACGTCGGCGTTTTACTCGGAGCCGGGTCTCTACTCGCCCGACCAGCTCGCCGAGTGGAAGAAGATCACGGATGCGGTCCACGCCAAGGGCTCCAAGATCTTTTGCCAGATCTGGCACGCCGGCCGTGCCGCGCACCCGGATTTGAACGACGGCGCCGAGACGATTGCGCCGTCCGCGATCGCGATCGAAGGCGACGTCCACGGCCCCAACGGCAAGGTGCCGTACACGGTGCCGCGCGAGATCACGCTCGACGAGATCCCGCACCTCGTGCAGCTGTACGCGACGGCGGCCAAGAACGCGGTCGAGGTCGCGGGCTTTGACGGCGTCGAAGTCCACGGCGCCAACGGGTACCTCATCGACCAGTTCCTCAAGGATGGCAGCAACAAGCGCACGGACGCGTACGGCGGCTCGATCGAGAACCGGGCGCGCTTTGGCCTCGAGGTCGTCGCCGCCGTCGTCGGTGCAATCGGCGCGGACCGCGTCGGTATCCGCCTCTCGCCGCTCAACAGCTACAACTCGATGATCGACTCGAACCCGCCCGCGCTCCTCGAGTACTTTGCCAAGAAGCTCAGCGACTTTTCGCTCGCGTACCTGCACATCATGCGCGCCGATTTCTTCCAGGCGCAAAAGGGCGACGTCATCCCGATCGTGCGCGAGCATTTCAAGGGCCCGATCGTCGCCAACATGGGCTACACCAAGGAAGAGGGCGACCAAGCGATTGCGTCCGGTGCCATTGACGCCGTTGCTTTTGGCACCTCGTTCTTGGCCAACCCCGACTTGGTCACGCGCTTCGAGAAGGGCGCGGCCCTCAACACGCCGGATTCGGCGACGTTCTACACGCCGGGCCCCAAGGGCTACACCGACTACCCGTTCCTCTCGTAAACTACTTTTATAGTAACCAGAAAATTCTA